CGAAACTACCAGCCGCTCCGCGGGAGAAAGATGAGGCTTTCTACTCCCGTAAAGATTTACACCCTCGGAAACCCTGTACAGGGTCGCTATGGGTCGGCTCCGACTCGAAGGCACTTAACAACAACAACAACAACAATGTTCTATTAGTTCATTGGAGTAATTGATTCCAAGTCTTTTCAATTCTTACCACTTTTTTTTTCTTCTGTACATGGAGAGACCATTAGCTGTATCTTAGACACCGCTCATGAACTTTCAAGATCCCACACCCTACTCACCCAAGTAGGTTGTAGAACATTCTTTGTGGACTCTGTTATGCTAATTTACCATGGTGTCCCCTGAAACTATGGTCCGCGGCCCCAGGCTCATCAACTCTCAATGGCTATTCTGAACATTTTTTTTCCCTCTATACCATGTGTCATTTTTTATCAATATAATATTATATTGTTGTTGTTGTTAAGTGCAGTTGAGTCAGTTCCAACCCACAGCAACTCTGTATAGGGTTTCTGAGGAGCAGCTAGTGAACTTGAACTGCCAATCTTGCAGTTCAAATGACTTTGCAGTCCAGCACATTAACTCACAGTGCCACATCAAGACTCCTATAGACTTTGAGTCCTCTCTCTATACAGTATTCTTCCCTACAATGCCAAACCTTGCAGATTCCAGCTGCCTCACCTGATTAAAATTCGGATCTCTTCCTCCTCATTTATTATAAGGCTGATACAGTGTGCTCTAACTTTAGTTTTCTGTACCACAATGAAGAAGTTGTTCCAATCCTGGGCAATTGTGAGACATAATTCAAGAATGGGTTTTGCTCAGAAATCAGTTTTTTGCTATTATCTACTGCCTGAAACAGCTGTCTCAATAATATATACAGTTTTATAGTTTTTATAATGGGAGGGATAATTTTATAGCAATTACTCCTCTATCACAGCCAGAAGCAAAAGTACCATAATTCTTTTTAAAGATGTTCAGTCATTAGGATGAATTTTCAGAAGTGAAATTACTGGTCCTAAGTAGTCTGACATTTTTATTGCTTTTGAAAAGTATTATACTAAATTGATCTCCAAAAATGTTTCTGCTAATTAAACTGACAAATGTCTTTGACCTCTGCCATACAGCCAGGAAACTGAAATATAAAACACACACAAACAAAAACAATGCACAGAGATACCAAAGAGTTAAATTTGTGCTTATAAACTTGAGTGAGTGAGGAAAACAACTAAGAAGTCTAGGACTAGCAGAAGTTGATTGAATAAATGGAAAAATGAAACTGAACCAATCTAGAGGACTTACTGGAACAAAAGGCGGGATGGGGGTGGGGGCAATGCATTTGTTTATAGCTGCCTCTTAGAACAATTGGATAATTGGGAAGGAACGAAAAAAGTGAGGGAGGAGAAGCATTTTCATTTGCCATGTTTAATCTATTTTCTTTACCACTCTTGTTAAGTGCTGTTGAGCTGTTTTTGACTCAATGACCTGGTATAGGGTTTCCAAGGAACAGATGGTGGGTTTGAACCAACAACCTTGTGGTTCGCAGTGCAATGCTGATCCTATAGCACCTCTACAAACCCCCAAAATAGTTCAAGTATAGAGCATGGTGGCTCCATACAATAAATACTGGACTGCAACCACGAGGTTCGAGGTTTGAGTCCACCAGTTGCTCTGGGACAAAGATTAGACTTTAAGTTCCCAAAAGATGTAAAGCCTCAGACACCCTACGCAGGGTAGCTATGTGTCAGAATAGACTTGAAGGCATCTAACAACAACACAACATCATAAATTGATAATAGCTAAAGAAGAAGGTTTCATTAAGAGGCATTTTGTAACAATCTTAAGAAAACAGCATGGCTTTTTTGGCAAGCCCTATTACGAATGTTGTTGTTGATAAGTGCCACTGAGTCAGTTCTGACTCATAGCGGCCCTGTATAGGGTTTCTGAGGTTGAAATTCTTTGCAGGAACAGAAAGTTTCATTTTTCTCATGTGGAGCAGCCAATGGGCTTAAACATATCTTATAGAGCCACTGTGCTCCACTATTATGAAAAAGTATGTTTAACTTCCTTCGTAGAATGTAGTAAAGCAGACAGATAAATGGATGGATGATGGATAATAAAAGTAGGTGGTTTCAGAAATAGACAAAAAGACAAAGTATCAAAGGAAATGTCTGTGGATACAAGAAGTTAAGATTTTCCTTTATTTACCGTTCCATCTTCCATCAGCTTTAGACAAGAACCAAAGTCTGCTAACCGAATATGTCCATTCATGTCCATCAATATATTGTCAGGTTTAATGTCCCTGTGAAAAAGAAATACAATAAATTTTAGTTAAAATAAACAAACATAGTAAGTTACTTGTTAAGATAACCTTTTTGAATAAAAATCCTGGTTTGTTTTAAAACTACTGCTGTAAGATATTGATTTGATGTGGGTTCATATTAAAAGTTTCTTAGCACAATGATCAGTATTATCCTGAACCTAAGAAGTACTATAGTAATAGCCATTCAGGTCAAAATAATCTTACCATATCCCTTTAAATTTACAGTTTCAATGTTAACTACAGTGGTTTGATGCTGGAGGATAAGCACTGGACTATTAACCTCAAGGTAGGTGGTTCAAACCCACCAGCTACTTCTTGGAAACTCTATACCAGGGCTTTTTTATGAGTCAGAACTTATTCTACAGTACTTAACAACAATATGATAATAGGCCTATGTTGTGCATACATAGAAGAGTCATAATTATCTGATACCCAGACAAAAACAATCACTACCATCACTCTTCTGTCAATGTGTCATACTGTGGTGACTTGTATGTTGCTGTGGTATTGGACGTTATACCACTGGTATAAAATACCAGCAAGGTATACCCATGATGGATATGTTTCAGCTGAGCTTCCAGATAAAGACAGATTAGGAAGGAGGAAGGCAGACTACTTATGAATGTTTAGCCAGTGAAAACTTTACGAATAGCAGTAGAAAACTGTCGGATAACAACAGAATAATGAATATTGACACACGATGAATAACATAATAATACTGTCAGATATAGTGTTAGAAAATGAACCTCTCATGTTAGAACCCATTCAAGTTGACTGCAATGACATGAATGGAGTAAATAAAGCTTTCGGAATCTTATTTTGCACATGGAAAACACCTTAAAATGAAGACAAACAGCTGTTAATATCCATTAATAATTGGAAAATGGCATGTATAAAGTATGAATCTAGGAAAGTCGGAAGTTGTCAGAAATAAAATGGAATGCTTAAAGATCAATATCCTAGGCATTAGTAAACTGAAATGGACTGGTGTTGGCTGTTTTGAATCTGACAATCACATGGTGTACTATACTGGGAATGACAAATTGAAAAGGAATGGAATTACATTCACCATCAAAAAGAACAGTTCAAGATATATATAATGCTGTCTGTGATAGGATAAAGTCCATATACCTAGAAGGAAGACCAGTTAATAACACTGTTTATTCAATTTTACCCACCAAACATAAAAGTCAGTGATGAGGAAACTGAAGAATTCTACCAACTTCTTCAGAGTCCTGGTGTGTCACTGTGAGTTAATGCACTGGACTGCAAAATCATTTTAAACCACGAAGTCAGTGGTTCAAACTCACCAGCCACTCCTTGGAAGGTTTGCTATGGGTTGGAACCGACACTAAGGCACTAAACAACAACCAACTTTCTTCAGTCTGAAATTGTTCAAACATGCAATAAAGATATACTGATAATTACTAGTGATTGGAATGCAAAGGTCAGAAACAAAGAAAAAGGATCAATAGTTGGAAAATATAGTGCTAGTGATACAAATGATACTGGAGGTCACAAGATAGAATTTTATAAAACCAACAATTTGTTCATTACAAATACCTTTTTTATATAACATAAAAGGTAACTATGCACATGGACATCACCAGATGGCATAAACAGAATTCAAATTGACTATATCTATGGGAAGAGACAGAGAAAAAGCTCATCTCATCAACCAAAACACGGCCAGGGGCAGACTGTGGAATAGACCATCAACTGCTAATATACAAGTTCAGGCTGAAGCTGAAGAAAACGAAAACAAATCCACAAGAGGCATTTTGACATTGAACATATCCCACCTGAATTTATAGTTTATCTCAAGAACAGATTTGATACATCAGATACTAGTGATCAAGGACCAGAAGAGTTATGGTATGACATCATGAACATCATATAGGAAGAAAGCAAAAGGTCATTAAGAAGACAAGAAAGAAAAAGACCAAAATGGATGTTAGAAGAGACTGAAACTTACTCTCCAGCATAGAGATGCTAAAGTAAATGGAAAAAATGAGGAAGTAAAAGAGATGAACTGAAAACTTCAAAGGGCAGCTTGAGAAGACAAAATCAAGTCTTATAATGAAATGTCCAAAACCCTGGAATTAGAAAACCAAAAGGGAAGAACACACTCAGTATTCTCAACCTGAAAGAACTGAAGATAATTTTCAAGATGCAACTTGAAATATTGAAGGATTCTTTGGGCAAAATACTGAATGATGCAGAAAGCATAAAAAAAAAAAAAAAAAGATGGAAGGAATACACAGAGCCTTGTACCAAAAAGAAACAGATGATGTTCAAAGAATTCAAGAGACAGCATATGATCAAGAATCAGTGGTAGTGAAGGAAGAAGTCTAAGATGCAACAAAGGCATTGGCCAAGAACAAGGCTCTGGGAATTGATGGGATATAAACTGAAATCTTTCAACAAACTGATGCACTCACTGATTTATGCAAAAAAATTGGCGGACAGCTACTAGAACAATTGATTGGAAGAGATCCACATTTGTGCCCATGACAAAGACAGGTGATCAAATGGAATGCGGAATCATTAGACAATATAATTAATGCAAGCGAGTTTTTGCTAAAGATAATTTAAAAATTGTCGCAACAGTACATTGAAAGGGAACTGCCATTGAGCTGGATTCATCAGAAGAGGATGTGGAATGAGGGATATCATTGCTGACATCAGATGGATCTTGACTAAAAGCAGAGAATAACAAAAAGATGTTTACCTGAGCTTTCTTCTGTGTGGATCATGACATGATATGGACAACATTGCAGATAATGAATACTTCAGAAAACTTAACTGTGCTTATGAGAAACCTGGACATAGACCAAGAAGCAGTTGTGTAAACAGAACAGGGGGACATTGACTAGTTAAAAATTAGGAAAAGGTGTTCCCAATGTTGTGTTCTTTCACCATACTTATTCAATCTGAGCAAATAATCTGAGAAGCTGGATTTTATGAAGAAGAATGTGGCATCAGGATTGAAGGAAGACTCATGGTAAAACCTGCGATATGCAGATGATACAACCTTGCTTGCTGAAAGCAAGAACCATTTTATGTCCTTGCTTTATCTTACTGATAAAGATCAAAGACCACAACCTTCAGTATGGGCTGCACCTCAATAAAAAGAAAATTAAAATCCTCACCACTAGACCAATAGATAATATCATGATAAACAGAGCAAAGATTGAAGTTGTCAGACTTCACTTTGCTTGGTATTCACCATCAAACACTCATGGAAGCATCAGTTAAGAAATCTAGCAACATATTGCATTAGGCAAATCTGCTGTACAAGACCTCTTTAAAGTGTTCAAGAGCAAAGGTGTCAGTTTGAGGACTAAGGTGTGTCTGACCCAAGCCATAGTATTTTCAATAACCTCATCTGCATGTGGAAGTTAGACAGTAAATAAAGAGAAGAATTTATTAATTTGAATTATGATACTGAAAGAGAATATCAAAAGTACCATGGATCACCAAGAAAACAAACCAATCTGTGTTGGAAGACGTATAGCCAGAATGCTCCTCTAATGCCAGGATGGAGATTTCTTCTCTCACATTTCAGACATACTAACAGGAGGGACCAGTCCCTGGAGAAGGACATCAATCTAGGTAAAGTGTGTGTGTGTTGGGGGTGGGGTGGGTGGGTATCAATAAAAAAAGAGGAAGACTCTTTCTGGATTGGCACAGTGGCAATGATTCTGAGGATGGCACAGGACCAGGCAATGTTTTACTCTTTTGTGCATAAGGTCAATATGAGTCAGAACCGACTTGATGGCACCTAACAACAACAATCTCTTAAAATTGGACAGAGAAAAAGATATATTTCCAGAACCTTGAACACAACTGCAGATCAGCAAATTCTGTTTCACTGTAGGATAAGCACTGGGCTACTAACTTCAAGTTTAATGGTTCAAACCCACCAATCATTCCTTAGAAATCCTACACAAGGTCACTATGAGTAGGAAACAACTCTATGGCACTTAACAACAACAACATTTCATAACTACACAAAGGAAATTGCTTCAGAAAGCAATTTTAGAACACAACCATACCAATTGCCTAATAAATGATGTTGTTGGTGGTGGTTGTGTGTGGTTCAGTCAATTTTGACTCATAGGAACTCTATATATGGGTTCAGAGGTTGTAAAGTCTTTATGAGAACAGAAAGCCTCATATTTCTCCTATGGAGCGATTGGTAGATTTTAATTACTGATCCTGCAAACTGCCTGCAATTCACTATGCTACTAGGACTCCTTAGTAAATGATATATATTATACAAGGTTTCATTATTTGTAGATGTTAAGTATGATAAAATGATGGCTTCTAAGCTAAAAAATCTAGACAATAACATTTGAAAAACGAGAGTATGGTAAACCAGGAGTCCCTGGGTAGTGCAAACACCCTTAGCTGCTAACTCAAAGGTTGGAGGTTCAAGTCCACTCAGTGGCTTCTCATAAGAAAGGAATGGTAATTTCTGAAAAAACAGCCACTGAAAACCCTAGTGAACAGTGATATATGTGGAACTGTCAAGAGTCTGAACGAACTCAACAGAAACTGTTTTTTATTTTAATGTAAACTTTGGCAAAAATAATACAAAAAATTATTTGTATATACGATTCTCAGAAACCTAGCAGTATAGAGCTTCCCAATCACATTCTAAAGAGTGTTGTTAAGTACTGTGGAGTTGGTTCCGACTCACAGTGACACTGTACAGGGTTTCCGAGGCTGTAAATCTTTAAGGAAGCAGAAAGCCTCATCTTTCTTCCACAGAACAGCTGGTAGTTTTGAACTGCACATGGATTCGTAACCACCACACTACCAGAGCTCCTTTCTAAACAGTGCAGTTCTGAATAATAAAGAGATTGATGCTACTGTTCTTAGGTGCCATCAAGTTGGTTTTGACTGACAACAACCCTGTGTAATAGGGTTTCCAAGGCTCTAAATATTTATGGGAGCAGAAAGTCTCATTTTTT